ATTTAGGGATTGATAAAACTATGGAATTAATTAAAAGAACTTATTGGTTTCCTAATATGAAACAAAAATTATTAAATTATATTAACAATTGTTTAAAATGCATTGAGTTTAATCCTAAATCCGGTAAAATTGAGGGATATTTACATAATATACCTAAGGGAAATCTACCCTTTGAAGTTATTCATAAAGATCATTATGGGCCTCTAAACAAATCAAATAGAAATAAACATATTTTTGAAATTATTGATGGATTTTCAAAGTTTATTAAATTTTACCCCTGTAAAAGTACAGATACTCAAGAAGTACTAAAACATTTACAAAATTATTTTACTGCTTATAGTAGGCCAAAAATATTAATTTCAGACAGAGGTTCTTGTTTCACTTCACAAGATTTTGAAAATTTTATGACTGAGCACAATATTAAGCATATTTTAATAGCTACTGGATCGCCAAAAGCAAATGGTCAAATAGAAAGAATGAATAGGATCTTAACTCCTTTATTAGCTAAAATAACAGATGAAAAACAAATTAAATGGGATAAGCTTTTAGGTGATGTCGAATTTTGCTTTAATAACACAATTAATAGGTCAACAGGTCAAACACCTTCTATGTTATTGTTTGGGAGAAACCAATTAGGTAAGATTCATGATAACGTTAGGGAAATATTAGAAAGCATAGATGAAAAGGGAGAGAGAGATTTAGAGGAGATTAGGAGGGTTGCAGCGAGGCAAATAGAAAAGGAACAAAACAAAAATAAGAAAGCTTATGATTCATCTCATAAAAAGCCCTATATTTATAAAGTTGGCGAATATGTAATGATAGCTAATTATGACACAACTCCAGGGGTTAGTAAAAAATTGATACCCAAGTTTAAGGGTCCGTACGAAATTAAAGCAGTCCTACCCCATGACCGATATATAGTAACCGATATAATCGGATTTCAGAATACACAAATACCTTATGATGGTGTTGTCGAAGCGGCTCGAATTAAACCTTACAGCCCCGACTAACATGTTATTTTACAAATATTTTGTTAATATTCATATTAAGTTTAAGTGTTTTATGTACTCTTATCTTGAGTTTATGGCTTGTATTGAAACTTATTATTGTATTATGGGAAAACAATAGAAATTATGATTGTCTTATGTTTTCAAACCATTATGTGACATATTATGTTTCCAGAACATTATGAAAACCATTATGTTATGTACCCTTATGAAAACCATTATGTTATGTACTTTTATGAAAACCATTATGTTATGTACTTTTATGAAAACCATTATGTTATGTACCGTTATAAAAACTATTATGTAACCTTTTATGACTTGTTTTTATGTTATGTTAATTTTGTTTATTTCCTGATCGGGACGATCAGTTTTGTCAGTATGGCCGAACTGTAGGTGTATTTGTATTTCGCGCCATGTTAATGTATGTAACCATGTTGGTATTACTGTTTAGGGTGACAGTTGTCAGTCCGTCACCTGTGTTTCCGTTTTGGTTAGATTGATTTATGATCTCGATGTGTAAGGTGCTTTAAGGTTATGTTAAGTTTTTGGTTATGTGTAAAATGCCGCTATGTATTTATGATCAGGTTTATTTTGTGGGAATAAACAGCCATCCGACTACAACTTGTTTAATTTTATGATCCCCCCACATACTTAAATAGGTATACGGCGTAAAACCCTCTGCGCATCTTTACTGAGTGTTTAATAAAAGAAGATAGAAATGACCGCCATTTTTATATAAACAAACTGAAACTTATGCAACCAATTTATCTTTCCATCTGTCAAAAGTGTCAAATTTTAATGTGTGTGAATTTGGTTAAATTTTTTTGTGTTATTTTAGAATATTTTGATTGTGGATATTATTTTCTAAGTGTATAAACGTTTTATTTATTTTAACATTTGTGAATAGACTTTAATCCCAGTATAAGTTCTCTATACTGGGCTTTATTCAAGATGTCTTGTAAGATCTTGCAAGAACATAAGAAGACTGTTGCCAATAGATTCAAATGTTACATTCCACAAGTAATAAGATTTAGCAAAAATAAAGGATATGAAAGCAGTGTCTTTATATTATTTTAGGGTTCCAAAACAAGCAGATCGTTCCTTATTGTGGTTATCTGCCATATAGAGATTGGACAAAATTTCTTTTAAGTTGTTAGTACAATTCACTGCAGAATCAATAAGGACGACCCATTCACTAAAAATTTGTAGCTTTTAGAAATTATACAAGAAGAAAGTAAATTGTTTAAAATAAAACAAATATGCAACCATCAATTTAATTTTAAAGTATCCTGGAAATTTTAATATTTTTAACTTCCTCTACTGTACTTTTGTCATTTAAAATTAGTATTTAGGTATTTAATCTATTATTTGTCGGCCTATTATTTATCAGCCTAACATGTATTTTTAAACATTAAAATATTTTTTTTTGTTGTAGAATAAAAATTTAATTCAAATATAATATTGTATTATTTCTTTTAAAAAATCTGTACAAAATTATGTATTTAAAAGTGGAAAGAGCTAGACATCTGCAACCAAGTTTTCATATTGCTGTATTTCTGGTCACCTATGTACTAGTAATCTTGTATAAAAATGGCCGCCCCTATGTTAAACAGGTCGGACGTCTCTCTTGCTCCGTATACCTATTATAAGTATGTGGATCCCCCACAATACATATAATTGTAAATATGGGCCAAAAGACTCAGGTCAATAGCCCTTTGGGAGTACCCAATAAATATATTTTCTTCTTCTTCTAAATTATGTCCTCTTTTCACTACCAATACGACGATCCATAAAGGATGTTTTGTGCTATACCATTAACATGTGTCCAACTTCAAGATCTGGTCATTAGACTGATTGGTCAATCGTTTGACGAGTTAATATTATACTTAACTTCCATCTATCTATTTAATTGTCAAAGAGTGGAATTTCACTCTTGAAGTTTCAAGTTTTGCCATCAGATAACACTAGACATTGAGATAGAATAAAGAGGAGATGCTATGACGATACTAAAAGTGTCCACACCTTTGCATTACACTTTTACGTCATATGTCAAACTCGAGCTACTGGAGCTGTTCAGTTTTGGTGAGAATAAATTCCATTTTTTTTAAACAGCTTCAATTTAATGATATAAAACATTTTCATTCCGTCAATTTTCAAATAAAATTATTGTTTCAAATAAATCGAAGTACGACTCTAGCGCCCGTATGTACCGTACACGTTTAATCCAGATTAAGGGTTTAATCGCGTTTAGTACCATTTTTAGCTATGCACTGTAATAAAAATCATTCTTAATCCGATTTTATTCTAATCCGTCAATATCGGAGGATCAAATTATGTAATCGAGATTTTCTTACGTCAAAAAGATGTCAAGGTTTTGTCAGTATACTTGGAACTTTCTATTTGTGTTTCTTTTATTTGAATTTTAATAAAAAGTAGAAATATAATACCAGTTTTTCTTGGAAGATGACAAAGATTCTAGACAAAATTACTAGAGAAGCGAATATTTTTATACGATGGGCAACTTTGTTATTTTTAAGAGGTCTATGTATCATAAATTTGCTACCGAGCAAGTTGCTCGGACAAAGTTAAGTTGTATGGAGTAATAATCTGTTTTTACTACTTTAAGAATTCCCTAAGTAAAATATGTAACTACTAATTACAAAAGTGGATTCAGAGTGATTTGGAAGTAACAAAACTTTCTTGGTGGTTAAGAGTAAAAACTAGTTACTGAGAAATAAATATTGACCTTTAGATGATAATTCTAATAGACAAAGAGATTAATGGGAGGGGTATGAGTATTGATCAGATAATAGCAACTTATCAAAAATAGATACTTATATTATTTTTCTAATGGTTCGTTTTAGGAATGAGGTAAGACTTCAGTAGACTACTTTCTTGCTTGAGATCTGTATCTGTAATTCTCCTGGGGTACAAAGAAGCTGTCTCTCAGCTCATCAAAAAAAAAAAAAACTTTTTAGTTGACACTATCGCCGAAAGGCGTCTATGAACTGCCTCTCAGATCGTAAAAGGTCTGCAGGTCTGATTGGGATAAAATTACACATTAACAGTCTTGGTGAAACATTGAACTACATGTTTACTTTTTTTTTTTTAATTTTAAACTAGTTCACAATCAAAATGTTACCAATTCCCAAATGATAAACAACATTTCACTAGATGTCCGATCCGAAGTTGTTCAAAGCCTGATTTACACCACACATACAAACAGTATTATTTTTGTAACAACCGTGAATATCAGATTAGCGACTTTTGTCAAAGTTGTTATACAGTAGGTATGTAATTGGTGACTAAACGATTGTATATTTGATGCACGTTATCTACTTACTTTAGGAATATATTTATAAAATGTGAAAAAACGATATAATTTAGGTATACAAAAAACGATATAATTTAGGTAAACAAAACGAAAAAAACGCACTCAAAAAATCTACTTTCACTTTGTCAGTAGAACCATAATTACATCATCACTAAAATGGCGTATTGTGTGATATCATATCTGATATTACACAAGATTCACAAAGCATCTTTAAATATTTACGAACCTTGCCAATAAAGTTAGGATTAAATTAATTTAACTTCATTCACAATTGACCGACCCAATTTACATAATTATGCTATGCATTAAATTGTCATACTTTACAATACGTGACATTTTTTAGCCCGCTAGAACACTGAAATAAAAAGTAAAGTAATAAACAGTCTTATTGCTGAATTCCTCATAAGTCAATGATGTGCCAAACGTAGTAAACGCGCTATTTAAAATTAAAAGGAGGGAGGGGGTTGAAAATACTTCTCTATCGGAAAAAGATGAGCCATTTGGATTTAAAATCAATCTGTTTCAACTTTTTTTTTTTAATTTTTAATTCTAGAGACACGTCGGATACGTTTCTAGGAAAGAATATAGGTAGTTCTATACAGATTCAAAACTACCCAACATATATTTTTATGTAAAAACAGTTGTTTTGTTGATATTACCTTACTCCTTCGATTACTACAGCACTTTTATCCAATGTCGCAACATTATAATTAGGACAAATAACATCATTAACCATCTTTGGAATTTTCAATTTACATATTGCCTCAAAGGATACTAAATGAAATACCTAAAAAAAAACAAATTAAGTTTATAATTTACAAGATATAGTTAAATTTACCCATTACCTTATTTACAGTATTATGCGTTCCTACTATTCTTATATATTGTACAACTCTATTTTCAAAATATAAATATTGCCAAGATCGACAACTATATTGGCTATAATCAATAACTCTTATCCAATCTTTCTGTTCCATGGAGACTTCAATGTAATAAGAATAAGATCTAAAAAAAATCTCATTCAAATTTCTGCATATTTTCACTATATTTTTAGTTTATTTTTTTGTAATCAATTTAGAAAATAATTGGTTATTCTCATATGAAATAAAAATGTAACAGTAATGAAAAATATCGAAAACATGAGAAAATAATAACCTGATAGTAATAATTGAGAAATTGTAATTTAAAATCTTTTGTTGCAGGTTATTTTTTGGATTTAATCCGGGAGGAACAAAGGAAGGGGATTTCAGATTAGTTCAGATCACTCTCACAAAAGTTGTATTTTGATCAATTACCAGGTTTGAATATTCTATGGTTTTGATCTTCACACCAGTATTTTTTTGTTTGTACAATATCCTACAGCCTGAAATCAGAATTATCCCACATTTAAGTCTCTGTGCACAAATTATTTTTTTTTTGTTTCAAAATACCGTATGTTGGATTTAAACAATTTGATAAAAAGCAATGTTTCGGTCATTTTATTTCATCTCACAAGGAGAACAGCAAGCAGCTAATCAAATATGTTGACCATATTATATTCTTTAAACAAAGGCGTTTTATTTATTTTTCTATAATCATATATATAGAAAGAATACAGATACTCTTGTGAACTTAAAGGGTTATGCATTATGTGCGGGGCACGCGGCAGATTAGAGTGGCTGCCGTCTGGTCAGCCAGGATATCAGGTGTTCCGTTTTGACCTGATTATTTCCAGTGCTGTGAAGTTTTAACCTTAATTAGTTTGTTACGGTAGTTTAGCTTTTGTACGAGGAGATCTGAACGAGATTTGGTTCAAACGCATATGCCATAGTGGGATTTCATCTATGAGTACCATTATTGTTGTTTGCATGGCAATATGCGATTCCTAATATTAAAAACTAACATTTAATGTTAAAACCTCCAAATTCGTCAATGGGTCGTTGAGAAAAATACAGACAGCCTTTTGATCGTTTATTTATCTTCAGATTACAGCGTTAACACACTTGTAAAACAAATCGAAAAAAACAAATCTATTTTTAAACTGCTTGCACCTTGATATTCGCAAGGTGCTAGCCCTTCTGATCTCCGAACCGTCACCCGCTCCCCTTTCCATGACCAGCGGTCATGTGGCGTTGGAAGATTCCAGACATAAACGAAATTATTAAACTATTGTACAGGGTGGGCCCGTTACAATTTTCATACAGTTCTGAAGCGTGTTATTGTTTAATGAGAGTGTCGGTTAGGCCTAATAAATTTGCTAGCCCAAGAAGTCGATTTATAAACTGTTGTGTAGGTATTTTACCCGCCATTTTATTGTAATTTACGGCTTTGTAAGATATTTATTGTAGATTTGTTCATGTTTCAAACCTCTATTCATTTATATTTTGTTTTTTATTTTGTGTAATAAATAGGTTTGTTCCAAGAACGATCCGAAACCAGTCATTGGCACCAGGATTCTGTGCAGTATATAATTTGGGGTCCTAATAATCTACTGCGCAGAATCCTGATGGCAATGACTGGCTTCTTATCCTTATTGGAACAAACCTATTGAAACATAGTCAACTGTCTGACAGTTTTGGTTAGTTTCCTACATATTTGAAATTTTGTTGTTTTACGAACCTTACCCACATTTATTTAAATGAATAAATCATTTTGTTTATAACTGTGATTTATTGAACCTTTTACAGGTGTGCCTAATGATGAAGTAACACTTTGAATTTTTAATAATTTTTATTATTTTTTATTAATTTTTATTAATTTGTATTAATTTGTATTAATTTGTATTAATTTATTTTTATTAATTTTTATTAATTTGTATTAATTTGTATTAATTTGTATTAATTTATTTTTATTAATTTTTATTAATTTTTATTAATTTTTATTAATTTTTATTAATTTTTATTAATTTTTATTAATTTTTATTAATTTTTATTAATTTTTATTAATTTTTATTAATTTTTATTAATTTTTATTAATTTTTATTAATTTTTATTAATTTTTATTAATTTTTATTAATTTTTATTAATTTTTATTAATTTTTATTAATTTTTATTAATTTTTATTAATTTTTATTAATTTTTATTAATTTTTATTAATTTTTATTAATTTTTATTAATTTTTATTAATTTTTATTAATTTTTAATAATTTCTATTAATTTTTTATTAATTATATTCATTTTTAACCGACTTCAAAATAGGAGGAGGTTCTCAATTCGTCGCGATATTTTTTTTTTATGTATGTTCAGCGATAATTCTTTAACACGGTGTCCGATTTCAATGATTCTTTTTTTGTTAGAAAGGGGGTACTTCAGGGGTGGTCCCATATATATTTGGTCAACATCCAATAATTGGGTCCATGAGAAAATCCTCAAACTCTTTTTTATGTATATTTAGCGATAATGCATTACCACCTTGTCCGATTTATGATTCTTTTTTTGTTAGTAAGGGGGTACCTCAGGGGTGGTCGGTCCCATATAAATTTGGTTAAGATGTGGTGATGGCATCTGCACGTTTTTGAAGTCGTTTTTAAATTTTTAATTTCTAATACTTGTTATTCATTTTTATTCATTTTTATTCATTTTTATTCATTTTTATTCATTTTTATTCATTTTTATTCATTTTTATTCATTTTTATTCATTTTTATTCATTTTTATTCATTTTTATTCATTTTTATTCATTTTTATTCATTTTTATTCATTTTTATTCATTTTTATTCATTTTTATTCATTTTTATTCATTTTTATTCATTTTTATTCATTTTTATTCATTTTTATTCATTTTTATTCATTTTTATTCATTTTTATTCATTTTTATTCATTTTTATTCATTTTTATTCATTTTTATTCATTTTTATTCATTTTTATTCATTTTTACTCATTTTTATTGATTTTGTTAACTTTTATTAATTTTTAATATTTTTTTTTATTTTAGTTTATTTTTATGATACTACCATACAAAAATCTAAAAACCACAGAGCACGTCATTATTAATTTTTACTACAATTATAATTTTCAAGTTCCAACGTTTAAAAAAATTTATACTTCTATACACATTTTCACCCCCGTTTTCCCCCCTTAAAATGTGAAAATCCAAAAACCATGAAACACATCATTTTTGATTTTTAATTAGTAGCTGTAATTCAAATTTTTATGTTTCAAACTTTAAATAACAAAAAAATATATACATACTATTAAACAAATTTTCGCCCCCATTTCCCCCCTTAAAATGTTAAAATACAAAAACCCTGAAACACTTCATTATTTATTTATGATGAGAACCTACAATTCCAATTTTCAAGTTCCTACCTTTAAAAAAATCGATATTTCCAAATAAACTTTCACACCCCCGTTTGCCCCCCTTAAAATGTGAAAATCCAAAAATCCTAAAACACGTCATTATAAATTTGTATTCATTAGATGCAATTCCAATTTTCATGTTTCTAACTTCAAAGAGAACAAAAAAATATATACTCCCATACAAACTTTCACCCCCAGTTTGCCCCCCTTAAGATGTAAAAATATAAAAACCCTAAGACACATTATTATTAATTTGTAGTCAGTAGCTGCAATTCTAATTTTCATGTTTCTAACTTTAAAGAGAACCAAAAACATGGATACTCCAAATAAATTTTCACCCCCCATTTCCCCCCCTTAAAATGTGAAAATCCAAAAAACCAGAAACACGTCATTAATAATTTGTAATCAGTAGCTGCAATTCCTATTTTCATGTTTCTAACTTCAAAGAGAACAAAAAAAATCAATAAACTTTCACCCGCCCCTCGTTTTCCTCCCTTTTAATGTGAAAATCCAAAAACCCTGAAACACGTCATTATTTATTTATGCTTAATGGCTATAATTTAAATATTCATGTTTCTAACTTTAAAGAACAAATAGTTTCATTAAAAGCTCCCTCCCCCATTTCCCCTCTTTAAAGTTAAAATTTACAAAAATCCTTTCTTAGCGGATGCTTACGTTGTAAAATAAACATATGTTCAGAATTTCAGATTTCTAGGCTCAGTAGTTTTGGCTGTACGTTGATGGTCAGTCAGTCAAGATTAGAATTCAAACCATATGCATCATATTGATGATATGAATATTAAAAATTATTTTAACTGATGTATTACTAAAGTAATTAAAAAAAAAATCATGAAAAACATTTTGTCAATTATTTTAAGAAAATCTGAAATGTATGTTCATAACACACATAACTCAAAAAAAGTAAATAGGATAATCATTTAGCTACTAATAAAATAACTTAGTATTTCTATTAGATATACAAAACATAATATTTATGTTCACTTTTTAACAACCTTGCATTGTCCAAAACCAAGAAGTGTAAAGCCATAGGTAGGGAGCCCCAGCAATATTATTATCGGAATTATCAAGAACCTTTGGATATAAATGATTTATGGACTAACTAAATTACCTCAAATCACGGTCCCATAGTAACATTCTAATATGATTGATTATAGAAGGTTGCCCCAATTTAACAATTATTCCATGATCTCCAGGCCCATTTATGCCATGCCTAGTGTAACCCTTTTCCATATCGTAAGAGTAATAATCACCATCTAACAAATATTCCATTAATTCTCCAGACACGACTTTGGATCCTAATCTAGGACAAGCTAGATTATCGTCTAAAACTAAAATAAATGCGAATTTAAAATAATTCGTGATTCAATGTATAAATTAAATGTACTAACCTAATTGTCCTCTATGAGGCAAACTACTTAATCTAATGTTTGTTCTTTCAGCAATAGCATCTAAGAGAGCATCAGCTTTTACCAAACCAGCTGGTCTAACCACACAAAGTAAATCAGCAACACTCATTAATGGCAGCCGGACACATTTCATCAACAAATCGTCTTTGTCATCATTAATTTTGCACCAACTGCATACTCCTTTAAAAATTTCAACTTCCGGTGCAAAGAATGAATCTCTCTGGAGAAGTTCAACAATTGAAGCCTGTAAACATTGTAATGTAAATTTTCTAGAAAACAGAAATTAATATTTAATAACACTATATCAAATTTTGATTTGATCTAGTTTCCTGGTACTTAAGGCGGCTAGCAAATGTATTAGCATAGGTGAATTTTTCTACATGCAAGACGGGCTGGCTGAATAGGCAATAAATCTATGCGAATTTGCTTTTATTATTCAAATGGTATTAAACTATTTCCTAATATATTTTAAAGTGAAAAAAAAAATGAGTGAATGGAAAAAAGAACAAAATTGTGAAAATTTGACATGTTAAAAAGTCATCAAAAACCGCTCTAAAAGCTATTTCAGGAAATATAAAATATTCCGATTAGAGGCTCCACACAAAAAATATATCAATTTTAATCATATTACGCAACCAATTTACACAAAAGAGTTCACGCACTTTTAAATAGATGGTGCGACCTGAAAATTTCAAATTTATGTCGAACAACTAACGAATCAAAATGAGCAACATTGTCATATTTATATGAAGGAGCGGAAAAAAGGACATTCTTTATTTTATTACAAAAATTATGTGTACATATATTTTGAAAGTATACAATGTGTTAAATCTGGTTGTGTAGAAACGTCTAAAAAGTGTAGAAAGCTTTTTTAAAATGTTTTATTTTTATATTACAAAATATGAAAACATTATAGGTTTGTTCCAACATAAACCAAATCAGTTTGTGTACTGTCGGGATTCTGTGCAGTCTAGAATTTGTGTTCCAACAAACCTTAGACTCGAAAATGTACAAAGACATAGTGTTCCAACACAACCAAAATTAATCACAAACCGATTTGTGTACTGTCAAATCAGTTCCTGGGTCTGAATAGGAACGAATTATCAAGACATGCGCTAAGCCGCAATAAACTGAACATTTCGTGATTGTAATTATATTATTTGTATCTATTGTCTCTGACAGTTCTGATTTGTATTTGTTAATCGAGCTTAGTCTTCATAGTTTTTGTTCATGACCATTTATTTTATTTTGTGGTTTATTATTGCAATAATGCGTCTGTTGAATTTAAAAAATGTGTTCCAACATAATCGAGTTCCGAGTTGAGTCCCAATCCCCGACCAGTACCTGACAAGTTGTCAATTACTAGTCATCGACAGATTGTCAACAATAAGTTTTGGACTGGTTTATGTATTGTTCCAAGATCGTTGTTGGAACAAACCTTATTTGTCAGATAATAAATAGTCGTTTGTGCAACAAGAGTTTATTAAAAATGCATACAGGATTTATGTACAAGTACGCTTAAACCAGTTTTTATAGTGCGTTTTGTTGTGGTTATCCCATTGAAAAAATATTCATTATCCATCTACAATATTTTTAATTTATAGAATGCAGAAAAGCTACCCCAAAGAATGAAACCACAAATTCTATAGAACAAACTCTTTTTATATTTTTTTAGTGTACGTGGTTATTGTAAGTTGTAAAGGTAAAAGTAAACCGTTATTAATAAAACTTAAAAGCATTTAAATGGTAGTGTACTCTAAATAATAATTTAATATAAATAAGAGTTCTTTGGTTGAATCGGTCACAAACAAGTTTTTATTTATTAAGCCCTACATAAAATATGTTTCGAACAGTACAGTTTTTCATTTTGTGGTGCAGTCAATATTAATTTGATCCTCGTTCAAAAAAATATTTTATTTTTCATAAAAGCAATTTATAACATCTATTCCTGTTTTTTAGCAAATCTTTATTTTAATAAAATGTTCATGAATTATTGTTAAATCTTGAAAGACATGGTCCACATGGCCCTTTCCATGGAGCCACTTTTGGTAAGTTGAATTTTCTGCATATTTAAGAGAAGTAAGCTAAAAATATTTTCTTGTACTTTTTGTATAAAGAGATCTAAGTACGCATAATTTAAGGTATGTTCCAAAAACGATCACAAACCAGTCACTAACACCAGGATTCAGCTCAGTAGATAAGTTGGCGGTCCCAATAATCTACTGCGCAGAATCCTGGGTCAGTAACTGGTTTCTGATCGTTGTTGGAACAGACCTTTAGTCTTTTCAAAGTGGGTACTTTGTTGAGAAGTGTAGCCTTTTTAAAAATAGGCAATGTAAAACTTTAACACGCTGTATATCAAAAACCAGTCATAAGATGGTGTTAGCTCAGAGAACGTCTTTGTTTAAAAATTTAAAAATTAAATTTCAACCGGGTACCATTTATCCATAAGGAAAGTGCGAAGACCTTGTCAGACTTTGCCCCTTGTTGGTGGAGCCCATGGAATAAACATACCAAATTTATACGTCATTATTATTGTGCCATGTTTAAAAGAAATAAAGGACATTATATCTTCCATTTTAAAAGTTAAATCACCACTTAACAATATAAAAACCAAATAAGTAGTTTCGACAAAATCGTCCCAGTTTGTATTCTGGTCCATAAAATTATTTTTTGTACCTCAGTGACTAAAACATGCATTTTACTCCCTCATTTTGGGAACTGAAGTGCCACTTTTACTCCCTTGGGACTAAAACATTTTAGTCCTAAGGGATTTAAAAATGTTAGTCCCGCAAATAACAAAACCAATAGAAACCATAGCAAACTACTATATTCGGGAGGTAATATAACAAGACCTCTCTTACAAGCGAATAAATGTATCGATTTTCCCGAAAATAGTTTTGTTTGAAACTGTTTATATTTATTTTAAATATTTTATTTTGTATGTGATGTAAAGGTGTTCACTTCTGTCGTGCGGTCTTAAGCACACACTTTTTTTATTATTACATGTTTACGTAAGTCCCATACTTTAGTAAAATTCTGCAATAATAGTATGTCAGTGTGGCGCAACGGCAGAATACCTGCCTTCTAAGCAGAGGACCCAGGTTCAAGCCCCCGGCAGGTTAGTTTTTTAATTTTTCTTTTTTTTTTTAATAACTTTTCATAATCATTAAGTTATCGCTCCGCTTGGGCAACAATCTTCACTCTCGGGATTAAAAGTTGCACTTTAGTCCCTTGGTACATAATATACTATAAATACGGCCCAGAGGTAGATATTACTCGTCTGGTTGGCGAATCCATTGCGTCGCACAGGAAAAATACAAGCCAGATGGACAAAAATATTTAGTTGCATTTTCTGACTGGAAGGAAGGATTATATCTATACTCATGAACATTTTGTACAATAAAAGTCTAATTAAGGCTTATTATACAGTGTGTCCAATTAAGTCGGCACCACAAGGGAAACTTTTTTATTATAAATTAAATCATTGTGTCATATGCTGATGACACAGTTGTCTCATTTTGTGGAAAACCATGGACAAAGACCAAATTGTCGGATGAGGTAGGAGTGGAAAAGATCATAAACAGGTTAAACTTGTATCATCTATCACTAAATATAAATAGGACTTGCCATATTGC